GAGAGAGAGAGAGAGATAGCTGTGCTTGTGAGTTTCTTTGGTTGGGATGGGGGTGGGTGTGTTTCATGCAGTTAGGGTTTTAGGGGTTGGGGTCATATATAGGCTCCGTCATGAGGGCGTGAGGAAGCGCGCTTAGGAAATGAAGTTTCCTGCTTGACCCCCCACCATGGAATATCCAAGTCCTCAGTTGTTGAGGACTTTAGACTTCCTAAGTCACAAAACACTGTAGAAAACCCATGTTATCAAACATTGTTTTTTTACAAAACCTAGAAGTTTCGATGCCATGCATGGAAACTCCTAATTACCAAAGAGTAACACAAAGTTTGATTCAAGCGGAATGGAGCTTCTGACTAAGAAGAAAATTATGCTTCAAATGTATGACTTATAAATTAATAATATCAAGAAATTTAGCCTGGGATTTTCCAATCATTTTTAATTTTTTCGATGCGTTCATGTTTCTCAAGAAATTATTGGCTCAAAGTGTATTCAAGACAATTTGGGAATTGTAGTCTTTCTTTGATTATGTAACTAAAAGAAATCTCTCAACTGTTACTGATCAGCGACTTTGACTATTGTTTAAGAGTGTTACTTTGGGGGATGAAGAAGCAAGCAAGAGAGGGGTCCAAAAGACTGTACTGGAGAGGGGAGGACCCCCAACATTTAGTTGTGCTGTGGAGATAATGTCAAAGACTGAATTAAGAGTACATCATAGTTTAGAAGCAACAGTTGATTCAATTCTTGCAGGTCTGGTTCTTTCATTTGATTATAACTAATGTTCTGTTCTTTATGATAACAATATTCTGTCCTTTATAATGATGTAATGGTTTTTTTTTTTTCTCATGTATGAGTGAATTCAGATTTGCTGTTTAGGTAGTTATTTTTTTCTTATTTATTGTTTACTCCACAGGTAGGTATCCTCATTTTGAAACTCGAAGAGTAAGTCGTAGAGGGATGCCATGCGAACCACATAATGTACAAGATGGCGTGTTTAGTGACCCTTCTTCCAAAAAAGTGGATGAATGCATCAAAGATGACTTTCATGACATTGATGCTCATGGCAGACTGCTCAATAAAACTACAAAACAAATCCATTTTGATGATATCAGGCCCATTCGGTTATACACATTCGGAGTATGCATTTCTTCACCATTTGTTAATGATTGTTAAGTAGCATTTTTATTTCTTTAACAATGAAAAGGAATTCATTGAATAAAATATTTTCATATATGGACTTTGGATTTATGTTGTATTGAGGTTTTAAATGGCATCTAATATTAGATCGGGGACATTGTAGTTATTTGTGCCATTTTCTATAACCTGTTCGATAGAGGTAAACCTCAATCATTTAGCCATGGGTATGTGATCACTTGCCTTGTGGAGCTTCATTTGGATAATTCATTGCTGATTGCTATGGTCACAAAGCATTGAGGTTGGAACTCTAGGTGTCTAAAGATCTGAAGACTGTAATGTAACATGGGGATCTGAAGTTCCAAAGACTGTTTACATTACATGTCTATGAAGACAAGTCTTTTTCTTTTTGAATGTGTATTATGAGAAATCTTGAAGTCTGATGTTACCTAAAAGACAATTAAATTCTAAAATATTTTCTTCTACTTAAAAATGACATTTTGGATATGAGGTTTTTGGATCTGCCGACAATTTGTTTGAAACCAGGGTTTTAAAAAATGCTGTTTTGGATCGGAATCGCTTGATCCTGATTGGAAATTGGAGAGGTCGGCCCAATTCCTCATATTGATCGGGTGCCTTTGTTCTGTCAGGGAACCAGGCGGTTTGGCCCGATTTTATTTTTATTTTAATTTAATTCTTTTCAATGTGTTTAAGATATTGAAATTTTTTTCTGTAAGAGAGGGGTGGTAGAGTGGCCCACCCCCCTCGTTGCAAAGCCATGCTTCCATCTCATGTCTTAAGCCGTGAGCCTCTTTTATAAGGTTGCCTCCATACTAGAGCTTCAAGACTCCCTAATGTGGGACTAATGAAAGCTAAGGGTACGCTTCCTCATACAAATAGGTAGTTTCCTAAATATCTGATTTGATTTTAATATGTGCAAAATTGAAAATTAGAAACTTGCTCCTATAAGACATTTCCTGTAAGTGGCTGTTCAAAACTTGGGCTAAGGAATTGAATCGTATTTATTCAAGGTGGTCTCTTAAATGTCTTTTAAAGGAAAAAAAGTAAAAACAAAGCAACATTGATATCATACATATAATGAAATCGTAGAGCATGCCAATACGCAAAGACCCTTTGGGTCAACTTCCATTCTAATTTAATTGGCTATTTTCTTCAAAATTATTTTTATGCCCTTGTGGGCAATGCAATTAGTCTACGCACCTCTCGTTCTCTTCTCTTTCATCTTTCCTCTCCTCTCTTTCTTTTCCTCTTCGTTTCTCTTTCTCTCTCTAGTTTTTACTATTAACGGTAGTGTTCTTGACACTGTTCACATGGTATTGGAGTAGATCAGAATTGATCTTCTCCTTTTCTTGAACATTTTTTTTTAGAAAAGAAGAAAAGAGAAAAGTGAAGAAGGTAAACCCTAATCTCGTTGGGCGCTGATCTTGTCAAGAGGTATTCTGTTTTTTTGTGTGTGCAGGGCCAATATGATGGCCTGTGCGTACTGAGAATGTTTATGTTGCTGTAGTTTACCGTTGATGAAATGTCCCAAAATGTGTGGTTGAAGCAACAAGAGTCCTTGTGGATCATCGATGCCTGAATGATAAGTTTTCTCTTCATAACTGCTTGCAAATTGTTATTTGTGGAGTCCTTTGCCTTGGAAACTGCTGTTTTTGTGATTCAGTGAATTTATAAAGTTCAATTTAGTGTTTTAGGGCTCATAATTGTGCTTGACTTGATATATTCATGCATACCTTTTTTGTATGTTATTGTCTTTCCCTTATGGCTGAAGAAAGTAAGCCTAGAATTTCTACCATTAGAGACATGATAGGAATTCCAGCAACTACTGTCTATAAAGGTATTTCTAGGTGCAAGGGGAAAGATGGAGTTTTTGACTAAAGATGGACCAAAAGAGTCAGATAATGGTATGAGGAGTAACTTAAGGAAAAATATCAAATTATGACCTGGTTATGGAATAGTATGGAACCCAATGTGAGGGCTAATATAATGTTTTTTGATATTTCCAAGGAAGCATGCGAGGCAGTAAATGAGATGTACCCTTTTGATGAAAATATTTCTCGAATTTATCAACTTTATGAGAGCATATTCCTTTTACAGCAAGGTGACAAGAGTCTTAGTGACTGTTATAGTACTTTTCGAGGTATGTGGGAAGGTAAACATGTATCAACCTTTGTCAAATTACATAGACCTTCTAAAGAAGCAAATGGAGGAATTTAGATTTGCAAAATTCTTGTTCCGCGTTAGTTCTTAGTATCATTCTGTTTGTGCCCAGATCTTAGCTAGTAGTGAAATTCCTTCTCTCAACAATATGTACGCACGTCTTCAACGAGTTACTATATCTACTGCCAATATGAGTGATGGATCTACCTTGACGTTCACAATGGTTGAGGTGACGATAGGGGCCATGGTGGTAGTAATAGTGGATGTGGCCATGATTAAGGGGGAATTGTGGTAGAGGCCGAGCAAACAGGAAGTTCACCCACTGTGGACGGACCAATCATGCGGAAGAAAAAATGTTGGGATAAGTTTTGTAAGCCCGCTTGGGCAAATGAGGCAGCTTATGTTTCTGAGAGTGATAAAATACATACAATTGGCTCCAGTAATTGGAGTGGGGCTGTAAATTCTACTAGTGATTCAGTTTTGTTCTTGCGTGAAGAATATGATAAGCTAATAAGGAATAGTCAACAACCACCTACTCATCTATTCTCTTCCAGTACCACTCTGGCAAATATAGGTACTTCTGCATTTCTTGCGTCTCAGAGGTCTTCTCCCTTGGCCATTGATTCAGTAGCCTCTAATCATATGACTGGTATGTCTTCTGTATTTTCTTCTCCCAATCAATTAGATTTCATTGCTTCTGTTACACATACTGATGGTTCTTTATCTAATGTGTTTGGGAAGGGCATCGTTTGTCTTACTCCTTCACTGTCATTATCCTCTGTTCTCTATGTTCTAAAGTTTCAATTTAGTTTGTTGTTAGTCAGTAAATTAACCAAATCTGTTCAATGTTCAGTGACTTTTTATCCTTCCTAGGCATGATAATGTTGATCTTCCGATAGCACTACGTAAAGGTCAGCAATCTTGTACTAAACATCCAATTGCTCATTTTGTTACATTTGAGAAACCAACTTCTTCTTATAGGAATTTTGCCTTAGCTCTTTCCTCCATCTCTATACCCAAGTCCTATCAAGAAGCTCTGTCACATATTGGATGGAAGAAAGCTATAGATGAGGAAATGGCTGCCCTTCAATCAAATGGCACATAGGAGCTTATTGATCTGTCGGCAGGAAAGGGGTCGGTTGGATGTCGTTGGGTGTATACAGCTAATTATCCTCCAGATGGGTATGTGGAGAGGTTAAAAGCTAGGCTAGCGGCCAAGGGGTATACACAAGCCTTTGGTATTGACTATTCCGAGACATTTGCACCAGTAGCCAAGCTTAATTCAGTCCAAGTGCTTATATATCTAGCAGCAAATAAGGGGTGACAACTGAGGCAGCTTAATGTTAAAAATGCATTCGTTCATGGTGATCTACAAGAAAAGGTGTATATGGAGCAACCACTAGGGTTTGTTGCTCAGGAGGAGTCAGACAAAGTATGTAAGGCAAGGAAAGCGATTTATGGACTGAAGTAGTCCCAACATGCATAGTTTGAGAAGTTTAGTGAAATAGTTATGGCATAGGGGTTTCGAAGGAGCCATGTAGTTCATTCAGTATTTATTTTTAAACAATCCACTAGAATTATTATCTTGGTGGTTTATGTTGATGATGTCATTGTTACATGGAGTGATCAAGAAGGAATTAATAAATTGAAGGGTTATTTGCGACGATATGTTCAAACAAAAGATTCGAGACAATTGAGGTAGCCATGTCCCCGTATGGTATCAGTTTGTCTCAAAGGAAGTATGTAACATATTTGTTGATAGAAGTAGGGATGTGGGGTGCTAAGCCAGTTTATTAGCAGACCCTAACAGATACGGAAGGCTTGTAGCAAAACTTATCAACTTGATAATCATTCGGCTAGACATAACCTTTGCTGTGAGTGTAGTGAGTTAGTTTATGCATTCCCATGGAGCACCATATTGAGATATTTGAAGGGGGCACTAGGTCGTGTCCCATCTACAGGTAGAATGGCCATTTTAATATTGACAACTATTATGATACTGATTGGGTAGGATCCCAATCCGGTAGGAGATCTACTACAGGCTATTGTACCTTTGCTGGAGGAAATTTGGTGACCTGGAAGACCAAGAAACGAGGTCTAGCGTAGAGACTGAGCATAAAGTAATGGCTCACACTGCACATTAGCTAATGTGGTTGAAAACCTTGATGAAGGAAATGTGATTCTTGGTAACTGAGCCGAATAAGATGTTCTGTGACAATCAGGCAGTCATAAATATTGCAAGCCATCCAATTTTTTATGAGAGAACAAAACATATCGAGGTTGATTGCCATTTTATTTGGGCGACAGTAACAAATAGGCAGATAACAACTCCATATGTGAAGTTGAAGGATCAATTGGCTTATATTTTTACCAAGGCTCTTGGTCGTAACCAGACTGAACATATTTATTCCAAGCTGGGCATGGTTGATATCTATGCTCTAGCTTGAGGGGGAGTATTAAAAATTAAATCATTATGTGGTTATGAGTGTTGAATATAGTATCGGGTGTCTTTGTCATTTTTTTAAACTTTAGGACATTAGGTTTTACTAAAGTTCTTAAAGGGAATTTCTGTAATATTAGTATTCAATTATTATAAATAAATTTTAAGAGGTGCATGTGGGTAATGCAATTAGTTTATGCACCTCTCCCGCTCCTCTTTTCATCTTTTCTCTCCTCTCTTTCATCTTTTTTTTCCTCTTCTTTTCCCTCTCTCTATTTTTTAATAGTTTATAAATTACAATAGTTATATCTTTTACAATAATTGTAAATTATAACTATATTTAGAAAATTGCAATATCTTTTCCAAAAAATGTATAAATTTCTTACATAAAATTACTCTCTTGGTATTAAGATGTATATTTATAGTTGTTTGCTCCATTTTGGACCATATTCACATCGAAGATGATTTTATGCTCCTTTTTTTTTCTGTGATGTGAATGTAATGATCAACATACATTTTAACGAGGAAATGAAATCTCAATATTCTCATATTTTTCTAAAACAATGAAAATACATAATGCACTATCATTTTTTTGGAAACTAAAAAAATATATATTTATAAGAATTTTTGATATTTTTTGGAATGTTTTTTAAGGCCAGGTCTAGCCGATTCATCAATTCGGACTGCTGATCTGCCCTTTCGGACCCATTTTGGGTGATATGGGTCACCAATCCGTTCTTAAGTCCATATGATGTATAAATTCTTATTGATCCACATCCCAATTGGTGCATCGTGCTTTACAATGAGGCCAAGATAGTGTCCACCTACATATCCATGACAATGCTTTTTTTTTTTTGTGACAATTATTCATTACTGGTTTTACTAGGATGGCGTGGTAGTTTTGTTATAATTGATGTTCAAAATTGTGGATTTGGCCATGCCTAGGGGCCACGTGTCTTTGATGTCTAGGGACAGGGACTTGGGTGGGTGCCTAATTTCCTAGGTGGCTGGCTGAGAGAGAGAGAGAGAGAGAGTGAGGGAGGGAGGGTGGGGGGGAGGAGCTCAAAATGTGGGCACCACTTAATGGCTATTCAGTGCAAGATGGGGCCTTGATTTCTTAGGTGGCGAAGCGACCAGATTTTTCAAAACTAGTTACAATTTTTTGGTGTGAGGTGGATAATGGTGGAGAGAATAGCTGCAATTATGGGTGAATTGGGCCCGTCTGGTTGCCTTTTGGAGGGCATATCTTGTGGATAATGATAACTCCCTAGAAATGGAGGAAGCTGAATAAACAAATCCTTATTAGTCTTAAAATAAGAATCCACGATTTCTGTTGGAGGTCACAGATCCCGTTTTTGCTTGAGCCCTACCAGATTCTGGTGCTATTTTCCTTATAAGGGACTTACGGACCATAGATTAGTGCTATTTACCTATGTAGCTCCTGCAATCCCTCAAGTTAAATTTTGAGAGTGGCTTCTGGGCATCCCAAGATCAGCTTGTGTATGCCACAGTAGTGCCATAGTTTCGTCATAATACTGGTAAAGCGACTTAGTCCTCCTACAAGGTCTATTGGGGATCTTTGGTTCCATAGGGGTTGAGGCTAGAACCTTGTCATCCTATTAATGGATGTTAGTTATTTGTAGCTTGCATTTAGGAATGTCATCAACTTTTCCATTGTTAATATCATCAGTGACTTATGAAAACAATAAATACCATATCTTTTAACATAAACTATATTAAATTATTGTGAGCATTCCTCCTATCGGCGTAGATTTAAACAAAGTTTTATTTAATTCAGAAAAGCTATATATTTGCGGATTTGATTTCTGTTGAATAGAATATTGCTAATATTTGCTATAGAGCTCTTTTGATATTCAATAGGTAGCGTGGTTTTGCTGGTGTCTTATCAGGAAATGAATTGTGCAAGTGATTCTTTATACTATACATTGCTAGCTAAAAATGCCCCCTATGCATGCATTTTTTCTGTCATTTGATGGCTGACATTATCTTGAATTTCTTTGAAAATGATATAATGAGCAATTACTATAGTTCTCAGGAACCAATGTGAAACAAGCAGTCAAACTACTTGGAATGGAGGACTTGATTCATTTGACAAATGACATAAGCAAGGCAAGTGCTGTGCTTGCTTCAAATTACAAGTTCAAGAAGGGTTCACAAGTACAAGAAGATGCAAAATATCATAGGATACCCATTTTCCTGACTAAGGTTGCCTTTATATCATTGTTCGACACAAATTTTCCATTATTTATCACTTTAACAGTGCTAATCCTATGTTGTTCTTGTAGACGAGCTCTTTGGCAGACCTCACCAGGGCAATACAAGCAATGTTCGGACAGCAGAATTATGTAACTGGTTCTGCTGTTGGAAATGATAATAAAGATGGACTTGTTGATGAATCCAGGGACAGAAGGGGTTCCTCTGAAGAAGTTGATGCATTAGAGGTTTGTACCAAACGCGTAAATGATGATACCCATGTAAAATAAAGGGCAAAAAACAAAAAAAAAAGAAAAGCGAAGCAATGCTCATGCTAGAGTGCCGTTATATACCTTGTTCTTATTACTCTACATGCGCTTATTACTACAATTCCCTTCCCAGGAGACAAGACTAGCAATCGAAGATGTTGTAATTCCAAAAGGGCAGATCGTAGAGCTTCTCCCAAGGTCACCTAACATTATAGCATTGCAAATGGACCTGATCCAAAATCACCAGCTGCATTATGAAAAAGTTGGTGAAGATCCCAATTTGAAACTCCGTATCTTTCCATATTACAATGCTGAGAAGAAAGAGCCTTACACTGTTACTGAAACAACTAAAACTGGCATAGTGGATGAGCCATTCAGCCATCATCGCAGCATGAATTATCCAGGTGATATTGTTACTAGATTACCTCTTCTCTCCGACTAAACCATTGTTGCTAAGCAGCAACATAATAATTGTCATATATATGCGGTACATTTAACTTTTTTATTTGTCACTTCTGATATTGTTAATATCATGCTCATATCCTTATACAGTGTGTATTGATTGGCGAGTGCTTGTCAATCACTTCTCTACACAGTGAATAAGTTCTGACATGGCCGATATTCCTGCTCCTTGGTCTAATGAAGCTTGTATTTGCATGAAAAACCAATGAGCTTGATGCAATTTGGTCTAATGAAGCTTCCATTTGCATGAAAAACCAATGAGCTTGATGCAACTTGGTCTAATGAAGCTTCCATTTGCATGAAAAACCAATGAGCTTGATGCAAATCTGATTTACTGAGTGAGCTGATGGTGGGTGTGTTCATAACACTCTGAGCTTTTGAAATTGATATGATCATTGAAAGCTAGATAAATGTTGGAGTTGATAGGCAGTGGGTATGAGTTCATTACATTCTTAAAATTATGAATTGATGTGAACATTAAAACCACACAATGATGGGTTTTGTGGCATTTAATGGCCTTAGTTCTTGTATTACCCAAGTTGACACTTATCTACTCACTGCAATAAAACTCATCTGATTAATGTGATAAACGAGAAACACTACTTTTGGGGTGTGAGCTGGTCATGTGGGACGAAGGTGTTCCATGGACGAAAGATACCATTACAAAAGGCTCTAGATGTAAGAAGCTATAAGAGTAGGATGGAATGAGTACCGTTGGACTTACTCTAGGTTTGGCCGTGTGGGCTTGAGAATGTTAAAGAGTCGAAAAAGCCAAAACCCTGGGCTACAGAGGGGGAAAACGGCCTATGCACCGTGACCATTGAGGGTTAGTGTGTTATCCCTTGTCGAGGTGCGGCTTATGTCCCATGTTAGGTTGTGACAGGAGAAAAGTGTTTTCTGCACGAGTGTTTTAGGCTTTGTGAGAAGTTATAGCGATGTGTGCCGGATATGTAAATTCAAAAATCTTTTTTGACAATTTTATTATTCACAAAGGCACTTCCAATACACATATGCTACTCCATAGTTTTATGCATCATAATTTCAAAGTAAATTTCAAAAACAAATCAAGGAACACACCCAAGACGTTTGCTGCTTCCATGTTCATATGGTGTCGGCAAAGCAAAAATGAAAATGCCACGACATACTGTGAAGGCGTGAACTATTGCCGGTATCATCTTCAGGGCTAGGTACCTACACCGAATCTCCTACCAAATGCGCACCATGAATCAGCCAAAAGTCATCTAAACAACTCCAATTGAGGAAGCTCCTATATCTTATAGCCTCAGGGGATGTACTATCAAAGTTTCTCTCTCTCTCTAGGTTTTGTATCATGCATCTAGGGTTTTCTCTCTTCATCTCATGTACAGCCTTGAAGGGCTTTATCTTCTCTCTTATGTACGTCTTATGGAGCAACCCATGAAAAACATTTCTCTTTCATCATGAGCCTAAGAACTTTCTCCATTTCGCACATTCAGCAGCTTGTAGGGAACCTTTTATCTTCCTTCACATATATCGATCCCAGGATCAAAACCTAGCTTTGATACCATTTTGTTGGATGTATAGAGGCTGAGTTGCTAGACACTCCATTTAAAATTTTTCATTATTTTGAAACCATGAGGTTTTAAAATATACAAATCCTTCATGAATAAAACAATAATACACAAATTCCAGCTACTAAGCTTGTCTTACACAATTTTTTTTTAAAAATTATAACTCTAATTGGTCCTTTTTCATGTCCAAAAATCGAAATACAACCAAATGCAATACATTGCTCAAATACTCAAACACTTGTATTTACAACACTTCACAACATAAATGTTCAAAATTCTTTCTCATCACCTAGGAATTACATCATCACTTCACGTCCAATCTTCATCCTCATCAAAACTACAAGACTTCATATGCATAATAGACTTGATCTTGATGACGTAAATATAAATTTAACTTGCATGGTATATGGCCAATGATTCAACATAGCATAAAATCATAGACTACACAAACATCATAACAAACATGTTCCACATATGATATACTCACTTTCTCCAAAGCATAGATCATTAAATAACTGTAAATTAAAACAAATAAGCATGCAAGCAATCATTTAGGAAGCTATAGGTCGAACCCTTTGCATTTCGGTCACAAATCAGACTTTTTAGGGACTTAATTTTTTCCCACAGATGAGAGCATGGATGTTTTTATTTGTACAAGGAGATCAATTGTCTTGCAAAGCTTAAAATTATTTTAACACTACTTAATAAGGTTTAATGAGAGAGAGATATGTATTAGATCAGGTTTCAAAAGGACGAGAGAGATCCAACACAAAAACCAGCAAACTATGAGCATACTACACTACGTATTCCATGGGACCATCAAAGCTTTTCTCAATTATAAAAGGCTGACCACGAACCCCACTTTTGAACTTGAAAATATAATGATTACTCAATAATATGGTGTGGAAAAACACTTGTGTACTAAGAAAAAATCTGGACAAGAAAAAGGCAAAAACAATACAAAACAATACAAAGGTCTAGTAACTCAAACTACACAATATGGAATGAGGGAACACCAATCTTTTCTTAACACTAAAAAGGAAGACCACGAACTCAAATTTGTTTCTCTAAAATGAATATGAACTTACTGATCTTAGTGAATGGACCTAAGTTGATCAGAAAATTCAAGTGGAAAAACTCCAATGAAAACAAGGCATGGATGAAAGAAATTGAACCAAACTTAACACATGATCAAGGGGAGGCCTACACTATGCAATTTAAGCTCTAAGATCAATGAAAACAAATGATAATAAGATGCAAATACTTCTGTAAATTCAAATTTACAGCAAGTAATTGAAGATGAAAAGATCAAATGATGATAAGGAAACTCGAATTTAACGCATAGCATGATAGTAGTAATGAGTCAAAGTGATATTTAAAGAAGGACTAGCACCATATGGGAAATGTGATGATCAAACTTGATCATCAAAAGCAAAAGCCTAAGGTTAGGGCTTGGAACCCTAGGTAGATCTCTCTCTCTCTATCTTTTGTTCACAAAAGTGTTTGTTAAGTTAGGGTTTGATTGAACCTTATGAGATATATATATTAAGCGGATAAGATGTGAATTGATTTGGACCTTTGGTGCTCCTCATCTATGGCACATGAAAGGTTTTACTTCTATCTACTAATTCCTATCAACCACCTAAATTAAGGATGTGATTTAGCCACCTTTATCACTCTTTTAACTTTAATTCAAACCATTTAAATTTTTGGTCTTAGCCCTATAGTTTATTTTCACATAAGTCCAAAGAAGAAATTACTTAAATACCCATAGGTTTTAATAAAATCATTAGATCATTTCATGGACAAAGGCCTATCCAGTCGGGTCATAGGTAAAATTACATGTGTAAATAAATATGTTATGACATAAATCCAATGAAAATCAAACAACCCCTTCTCTTCACATGCTTCATACCAATGAAAACAAGGCCCCATGATTTCTTCACACATGTTAAGAATCCCATGTGGATTATATTAAAAAAAAACAAATTATTCAAAATTATTTTGTCTTTACACATGCCAAACATGTCACATTTGATAACAAAAGGACATGTGATAAAAAACTCATTTAAGTCATAACAAAAATGTAACATAGCATATAACAAGATATGACAAATACCACAATTCCAAAACAGTTCCCACGCACAAACCTTGACATCATCAACAAGGGGCTCTGTGGGGGCACCACGTGGCATTCCTATTGCCACTTGAGACCAATGTGGCATTCCCGTGGGATATCTTTGTATGGAATTTAGGGCCAAACAAATTCGAAAAAGGCTATTTTGGTATTTTAAAAATTCTAAAAAATATTCAAATATTCTCTAAATGATTTTTCATCATTCTTATATTTATTCTCATTAAAATAAAATTAATTGAACCAAAAAAAATGAGATCTCTAACTTTGACACTAGGCATTGGAGTACTCTATTGGGTGAGTCTCAAATGGTGGTCCACTTTTATTTCAAGGTAACCTAAAAAACCTATGTTTCACAATCTATGATAGAGACACATAATTGAGTTTTCAATAGATTACAAGTGTACCCCTATGGAATGTATAAGTGCTCTAAAACGTAGGTTCTCTAAGACACATGTGCATTGGCTCTTCTAAGTTGGATTATACTATAGAGTAATGATTTCCCATGCGATTGTAAGTGCACATGCTATAGAGTGGTCTGGTGTTAGGGTACAGATTTATGCCTTATAAGTCATGATCATTCCATACAGGGCGAATACTTGAAAACTACTTAGGTTTTATTGTACTCGTTTGATTCTCCTAGCCTTGATCAATCATATAAACCATTAGTATAATTATTAATATAGCGATGACTCGGAGGTGACCCTCACACCTCTCTGAGAGATTACTCTCTCAAAACGTAAACACTTATTGCTTCATGTACTCGGGGTTTATGAATCTAAGTCCTAGTTTACAAAACATCCACAATCAATCTCTCTTTTACTCCCACTGAGCGACATACTCTTAGCTTTAAAGCTTTGAAAGGCCAACCAACATTCTCTTATTTGACCTTTTGAGACCTTATAAACGATTCTCTGTCTCATTCATATATTCAATAAGCAATTAAAGCATACTCATAACAAATGTACTCATACTCATAAAAGTAATACTCATCATGCAAGGGAGTAAGTATGAATATCTGTGTTAACCTCCATGATATTTTTAAGTATTCTCAAGCATATTCAAGCATACTCACGTTCTCCATATTGCCATCACACAAACATGCCCATAATGATTTCAATAATACTTGAGATAAATGATCACATAAACCATAGTCTAGATATCATATTTGATCCACATTATGCACGCATTTAAATTACTCATAAATCAACTCACATGTTGTCCATATGCCAAAATTCCATATCATTCTTATGCCTATGTGTTATATTATAATCTTGTAGATGCTAATGCGAAACAATCCTCATTTTTATTAATCATATATTCTAAAAAGCAATGGGGACTTAAGGCATGACAAAGAGTATAGCCCTTGTAAGGGCAGAATGGTGGACAAGATTTCAGTAGCTGTTCACAAAATGTTACAATAATAATGTCTTTCTCAAATTCATGTTATATGCTATAGTCTTTCCATTCTTAATTTCATGCATTCTTATGTTTTCTTAGGCTTGCTACTTACCTTCATATAAATTCTCATGCACATGCTTATATCTATATGATTATCCATGCTCATGT